GAAATCAGCATATGCAAATTAAGTTCAGGTTTAAAACCACAGTTTAAGACATTTAATTCACCTGGGTTATTAATTCGGCAAACATAAGACACTTTGGCAGCATTCAATAGATCAAAAACATCACCGCTGCAAAAAAACATGACCTCAGTGCAAAGTGTTGACAGTTCCGTGTTGTAACACATCACTCAATCACTCTTGTTTGTGTAAGTACCCAAAGAGATTTTCGAGAAATTTCTCGCTCACTCTCAAATGAAAACACGTGGAAGAGTCTTTCGCCTCCCTCTCCTGCCTCATGTCTCCATGTTGTTAAAAAGAAGAAGGTAAACATGTTTCCCTTAATGGAACCAACTGAGAAAACCGGTCGGACAAGTGGCGGTGCACGAACATGCACAAACACTGAGGGGCAACACGCGACTTCAGCAAAACACAACCATGTGCTTTCTGATGAGCTCTTTGTTCAGATTCTATTGTTCTATCACCTCTGGGAGAGATATGTTGGAATAGCTATTTAATAAAAAAAAATCCTCCAAAGATTATGAGATGCCTTCAGATCGAATTAGGTTTCCTGTTTTCGGTGTACGTAAGTGAGAAGACTAATATATGCTGACAGGGTGTGAGAATGTGAGTCATGACTTTCATTTAAATGTTAATTATAAGTTTGTATCGCACAATATTCATATGCAGTATATCTAACTAGTGTCAGCATAGCTCATATTAGATCATTAAAGGATTGTGGAAAACCATTTTGTACCATGTCTATAAAAGTCCGTTTCTACTATTGAACAAAAAAAAGTATGAAAGATCATCGCCAAATTTGTCCTCACAAATTATGAGAAAAAAGTTGCAACTGAACTTATACTTTACTATTTTTTACTAAGTTTTTCCAAATCTGTTTTAAATAATTTTTATTTCTTTCTTGTTTTTATTATCTTACACTCGTTTCTTTTATTCCTGTTCTGTTTGTTCCTGTTTTTATTCCATGTAAAGCACTTTGAATAACCATTGTGTATGAAATGTGTTATACAGTAGAAATAAACTTGACTTGCCATATAGATGATTATGCGGTCAAAAAATTCTGTCACATGGATAAACAAAAATGATACAAATAAAACACTGTATTATGCATGTCAAGCCAGTAGCTGGCAGTAGTTTGTAAAGAAACTACAAAATTCTATAGTTTGTCACTGTCTTCATGAATGCTTAGACCAAGAACGTTACATGCTCTGAAAAAAAGGATTCATTGAATTTACCACATTTTATTTAAGGTAAGTGGCTGTAAGCTATTTATTCGGGTTGCGTTCAAACAAGCAAATTAAATGTAGCAATGTTCAACTTAATTTGTTTGTTTAAATACAGCCCCCAAAAATTGTTTGCGTACCTCTTTAAAAACAAATTATAAATCCAATGAATAATTTTTGTCAGTGTCAGTATCTTGGGGACAATATTGGTATTGTTTTTAAAAACTTACACCATAAACTCTATTTTCAAAAGTTTGCATTTGTATGCGATTTTTTGCAAAATGTCTGCTTTCTATCAAAAGAATAACTTAAGTGTGCACATTTTTTGTAAACTAAAAAGAGTATTGTGTAAATGTCTCCTAGTTTGCATTTCCCCCCTTGACTTTATTTGTTGCAGTTATGAATTTCTTCACTTGCTACTCTAAGTAAATACCTGTGAAAAAAATAACAATTGTAAAATTTTAGCTTTTAAGGTTATAAGATTATAAGGTTGTGGTTCTCAAGGTAAAATGTGTACATTGGCTCTAAAGGTCAAACAACAAAATATAAGATTAAAAATCTGGAGTGATTCTACAATCAGATCTGAATCAGCATACTATCATCTCAAAAACATTGCAAGTATTAGATGCTTTGTTTCCAGTGGGGACTTTGAGAAACTTGTTCATGCTTTTATCACCAGCAGGATACTGTAATGGACTCCTCACTGGCCTTCCCAAAAAGACAGTCAGACAGATGCAGCTCATCCAGAATGAGGCTGCCAGGATTCTGACCAGAACCAGAAAAAATCAGAGCACGTCACATCTGTCCTCAGGTCTTTACACTGGCTCCAAGTTTCAAGAATACATTTTTAAGTATTATTATTTGTCTATAAATCACTAAATGGCCTAAGACCTCAATACATTACAGGTATGCTCACTAAATACAAACCTCACTCAGATCATTAGGATCAAGTAAATTAGAAACTCCAAGAGTTCAGTCAAAGCAGGGTGAATTGAGCTTCAGCTACTATGCCCCCGTTGCTGGAATTGGCTTCCAGAAATGATCAGATGTGCTCCAACATTAGACACATTCAAATCAAGACTGAAAACACATCTGTTTAGCTGTGCCTCTGAATGAGCACTGTGCTGTGTGTCTTTCTTTTCTTTTTTATTCTTTACAACCCGTTTTAACACATTGTAATTTGTAATTGTAATAATTTTATCTCTTTTTTGTCTCTTTTATTCTTGTTTATTTAAAGCAATGTTAATTACCATTGTCTATGAAATGATCTATATAAATAAACGGTAACACTTCATTTTGATGGTCCATTTTAGTATTAGTAGACTGTCCGCTTAATATCTGTTGATACAGGCATTCAACAGACATTTAACTGATTATAAGAAACTTTGCAAGTACATGTCAACTTACACTAACCCCAACCTAACAGTATACTTATTATCTAAGAATTAGTTGGCATGTACATGCAATGTAACTTAAATTTAACAAACAGACCATCAAAATAAAGTGTGATCAAATAAACTACCCTTTGCCATAACTATAACTATAATTAATTGAAGAAAGTCAAATCTGTGAGAGACTTCTCATAACTTCCAATTCAGTTTTTTTTTTTTTTTTTTTTTGGAGATTAAAAGTTGCAACAAGCATTTATGAGCCTTTGACTTCAGTAGATTAGATTTCATGTATCAGCCATAAATCTTCTATAACCAAAACCACAGCCAGTAAATATCTATACATCTAAAGAGCTGCTGCTGAAAAACAAACCCGAATGATCTTTTGGAGTCAAATGAGTTTGAAGCTAAACTATTATGTGCCTCAACAGAAAGACAAAGAGACTATTGCAGACAGCCAGAGACAGGAAGCCAAGTGAAAAATATCTGAATAAGCCGCAATACAAAGCATCAAAACAAACAAACCAAAAAGAAAGAGGCGTTCATGCAGACGACTGGCTATAACTTACAAGCGCATGTTAATTACTCATTGCACAAGTAGCTTTTGTTGGCCCAGTTACTTCCATTCAAAACAAGGCACTTTAAAATTTATTGAACCTTTGAGCTAGTTCCTCACAGAGTACATAAAAAGCATAAGATCTTTCGCAAACAGGACAGAACAAAGCTATTCAACCCCCTGCCAAACTAAATCAGATCTCTGGAGCTGATTACGTTTGTTAAGAAATGCTGAAAACAGCTTGATAAGAGTGATGCAATGCCAACTGAAGGATACAGATCCAAACGGCTTTGGCAGCACTCCTTAAACAATGGTACAGGCCGTTAATGCGTCCGATCGCTTCAATGTCAGTTACTGATTATTAAAATCTGCAGTGTAAGCAAATCAGCTTCAAGGGAGAGGCTGTAATGATGTCACTTTGATAAAAACAAGGAACACGTTTCAAGCAGGATAAGAGAAACAAACAGGCTTTGAAAACGATAGAGGGACTGAGAACAAGACAATAAATGACAAACAAGTGATCAATTATAAAGGGTGGGAATAAGCCTGAACATTAAATATGCTAAAGAAACCCCAACAACACCCCTTTCTATATGTGAGAGACAATTATAATTTATAGAAGTATGCGAACCACCATTGCAAAAGCCAATAAAAAACATGAAACACTGGAATGTTGGTTTGTTATTGGTTTCTAAATAGTCTTATTGGTTTGTAGTCTCAGTAGCCAATTGTTCACCACACAAAACCCAATTGTGGTTGGTGCAAACCCTTGCTATAAATCAAAATGTATTGGCCCGAACTTGTGTAGTTCTGCTCATAGTAGTGGGTTCCTGATGCTAGTGTGTACCAAATTTGGTTGGCATCTTTAAAGTGGCACTCATTTGTTTGGATGCAGTCTTTGCCATCATAATGATATGTGTTGCAGTCCACTAATAAAAGGTCTAGTGTACACAAAGCTCAAAAATGTGTCCAAACCTGCTTCTAGAAGGCCATTGTAGACTTTAAATTCAACTTAAATAACAAGAAAACTTTCAGGTCTTCCTGGAAAGTACATTTTTACAGGTAATTTCAAAATTGGGTGCTTTAGAATTCACGTTGCTTGAAGCAAAATGGCAATGTTTTTGTTATACATCACATTCAACATGGCTACAAAATGGTCAATAAACAATCCCAGGAAGCATCTAAACATAGCTTGGCTAAAATAAGGCTAAATTTGGGCTGTCAATGACAATCTAAGAGAAATCTTAAAATAGCCCAAAACTAGACTAGTCGTCAAATAGACAGACTTTATATGTGTAGTCTTTCATTTATGTTTATTTGATAACTGGTCTAGTTTTAGCCTATTCTTAGACGTCTTTTAGATTTTCACTGACAGCCCAAATTTAGCCTTGTTTAAGCCAAGAAGACTATGTTTTGATGTATTTTAGACATATTTTAAAAACAAAAAAGCTTGCTGGGATGGGTATTTGTGTAGGTTTTACTGTTTAACATCTTCAAACTGTCATTTATTCCATCATAACTATATTGTAAATGGTAAAAATGTTAATAAATGAAACAAATTTTGCCTCAATTCAGATGCTTCATCCATCACTTCTGCCATATTTTCTTAATCTCCTGTCATACAGTAATTACAACTTTGTGGTGAGGTTCATGTGCTTTCAACTAAGATTTTAATAAATGCACCATGAAATCTGTCCTCCATGAGAACGACTGGACAATGGTAGCATATAGTGAAGAGACTGAACTCACCTTTCCCAACAAGACGGCCATTTTGTGTCTCCAGCGGCCTTTGTTCAAGGAGGCAACTCGGATCCAGATGTTGAGCTGGGAGTTGTACATCCAGACATCCCTGCTGTTAATTCTTCCCCCTGAAATGATCACAACAAGTATTTTATATTACACACAAATTATTATATAATGCAACAATGTGAAAAGGTAAATGACCCATGAAACACTTCTGTTATAAACACATTAACTCATCATGAAAATAATAAAATCATCACTGTGGATGTCTGAGATCATTCCAAGGAGGAAACATAATTAAAGAGATCAGCTAAACCAGAAATATACTTATGAAAAGAATTGTGCAATGCAACAAATAGCTATGAATCATTATTTGGTTTCCCAGCATTGAGTTGTGGCTGGAAAGGCATCCGCTGTGTAAAACATATGCCGGAATAGTTAACGGTTCATTCAACTTTAGTGATCCCTGATAAATAAGGGATTAAGCCGAAGGAAAATTAATGAAATCATTATTCACATGTACACTACCAGAAGAAAACAAAAAACAACCCAGCAAAGCACCAAAGATCATTTGTTATATCATCGCCTGAATAAACTTCTTGCAATATTTGTAAAAATAGTAATAAAAAAAGAATGAGTAGTGTATCATTTGTATTAACACACACACACACACACACACACACACACACACACACACACACACACACACACACACACACACACACACACACACACACACACACACACACACACACACACACACACACACACACACACACACACACACACACACACACACAATAATGGTAACAAACCTCATCTACAAAAACCGTTCCAGTTCTTCAGGAAGCGCCAGCCGTGTGGAAAGAACACACTGGACTTGAAAGCTGCTCGACCTGAAAATCATCCTTCTATTCTGTCAATTTTCCATTATTTTCTGACTCACATATCTAGAGTTTGACACATACAATATTTATAGCCTGACACTGACACACATACAGGCTCGCAAAAAAAAAAAAACTTGGCCTGGCTTACTGAACAAACTTCAAAAACAAAAAAACGAGATGTGAGGGGAAGGAATGAACCTAAAGGAGGTCAAAACTAGAGAGAGAACAGTTAACTAGCAGAACGGCTCTTATGGAGACACGTGAGCGCTTGGCACATGCTGAATGTAAACCGATCGCTCAGGATTCCAGCCCCCTCACTCTCTTTCTAACGCTCTTTTCTCATGAGATAGCTGTAGTCCTGGTCTCTTTTAATTATGTCTCACAGTGTCTTTTTTGCTGAACCTGCTTGCTGTTCAAAGCGAGCTGCTCTGTAATGCGTGGCGCCCTGCTGTGCCTAACAAACCCCTGCTGACTAAATCAGCCTTGAGGTAAACATCAAACTGGGTCATCAACAATAATTGAGATATAAATGACAGGATTGACAGATGGAAGGCATACATAGACGAGTCACATAGTGCCTTGATTGATCGTTTCCAATTAAATATCCCAACGTGTTTTGGCTTTGATGTCATCTATATGCTAATTGGTGTTGAGTGATAAAACGGTGACGTGTTCAATAAATGTTCAATGGGACGTTTATGCTTCAAATCGGAACTAAACAATGTGCCACAAAGACGGTTTTATTCCACACGCGTTTAGGTTTACTTGTAGAGCTTGAATCGATCAAGCTCTAAAAAGACAAGCACTTAAATTTAGCGATGAAAATAAAAGTTTCTCAATTAGTTGTAATAAAATGGTACTGATGTTTTCTATAGCACTAACAAACAGATGAAACACTTGGCCATGAATGATTTAGTTGAAAAGTTACTGTACTTGTAGCAGCAGCATGGTTTTGAGAAAAATTGGGAGATATCCATATAAATTGTGTTACAGTATTAATGTAGTCATGTACTGAAGAGTAATTGAATCACAGTAATTTTTGTTATTGAGCCATAGATCACTTATATTTACACTTAATGTATTCAGGCTAGTTGTTGTCTTACAATTATCATAAAAACCACATATTAGATCAGGGTGGGGCCAAGCTGGAGTCTCTCTCTAATCCCCTAACCTCTGCAATGGTTGGGAAAATTCCAAATTGAACCAAAACAAATGAATTGGCTTAAGATTGGCAATGAAAGTTCAGGAAGGAAGTTCCAGCGGAACCTAGAAATCAAAAAAAAAAATAAAAAATTTACATTTAAGGAAGGTATTAAGATGCTATATGCAGACCCCCTAGTTTTTCGTTATTCCGCGATCAAAAAAATCCAACGCAAAACCAACAAAAAGTCACAATCTTTTGCGATCCTGCAAAATTCCTAAACACAAAATAATCGCAAGAAATGTAAATACTCTCAAAAAACATCCAATTTCAAACCATATAATCAAATTATATTTATTTCAGTTTGAAATTTATGTTTTACATGACTTAAAGACACTGCATACACAGCGCATATGATGTATTTGAGTGTCTCTCAAAAATTATGTCTCACCTGCGCCCAAACAATCATTACATTGCATTACATGGAAGGGGGCGGAACTGTTTTGCAGCCTGTGCAGTAAGCTGAAGCGGACGAAGTGCAAGTGATTTACATGTGAAGTCAATGCAAAGATTGGATTGCGCATCCTGTGGCACGAATTGACTGTTTGAGCAATCAAATGAAGCAGTGGAACACACAGGGAATCAAGCAGCTGGACGTGATCGAATTGAAGGACATTATTTGTGCTTCACATGTCTATGATGTGCATAAACCCTTTTCCTGCAGTTAAAGAGAGAAAATGCCTCCTAGCCATTGATGAGTTTTATGGCAATCCGTGTATTATGGCAATTAAGGTGTATTACAGTAGGGGAAGCCCTAATGCATGTCCTGAGTGAGGTACATGTCAGATTCTCCAGTGAGTGAAATCTGAGATAAAGTAAGATTGTGGATAAAAATAAGAGTTATACAACCTTCCTTTAGCTTAATCCCTACTGTTTTAGAATGGTTTTAGATCATGTTGTTTTGACAAGAGACAAAAATAAAGAAGCTTTATTTTTAGGATTTGTGTCAGATGAGATTGCACAGCTAACATAGTAGGCTACCTAATATGGTAAATAAGATACTTTTTATATTTAGATATATATATTGATGGAAATTACCACCACAAAAATTTTCATTTTAATCGCATAAAATAATTTTTTAAATCATGAAAACCTAGAGCGTCATATGTATGGTTTTACATTTAATTATGGTGATTTTAATGTATGCTTTTATGGATTACAAAGTTGTTTTTTAAATGTTAAATCTTTTTTGCAATATTTAAAGATAATTCTAGATTATCAATGCATGAACTCAAACTTAAGAAACAAAAATCCAGCAATTTTAAAAAACATTAAAAATACTCTCCTTCAGATTTCTGGCTGGCAGGTTTGTCATGTTCTAATTATAAAATAGTACTTTACCAATGAACTGTCTTTTAAAAATCTGCCTTTAAATTAGAAAAAAAAATCAAGATTTGACACTCACTGTTATAGTGATCAAAGCAGTTTTACATTGATTACTTATTTTTTGGCCTTATCACACAGCCCTATCCCAATCCATCACTAAAATTAACATTTAAAATGCAGTTTTTCTACATCAGAGCAAAAATGTCCAGAGCTCATTGTGCACTGATGAGATTTTCAAAATTATAATCCAATCAAATGCCGTTTACTAATACAATTCCCCTCCCAATAGCACTAGCATTAGCAACTAGCAATTAATCTTCCAGTCAGTGTTATAAACAAAAGACTACTGGCATTTCAAAACTTCCTTTCTCAACAGGAAACAAAACCAAGCCAAGTCTTTCCGCCACTGCTAACAGAACAATTTAGTTTTTAGTTTAGTTTAGTTTATTTGTTTACAGGGTCAATGCACATTAATAAACATTACTGTAAAATGTGCCAGAATTAGCCAAGAATGGCTATTTTTCATCCGTAGACCCTTTACAGAATGTTAAAAAGTCACACCTAAAATAGAAGCACAACATTAAACATTAAATACACTTTCATAAGAAATACAGTTAAAAAAGTAAAGAAAAGAAAAAAAGAAAAAAAAGAACAGACTGATGGGAGCAGAGGACAAAAAGCCAAAGACAACAGTACAAATGTGTCAAGAATACAGTACTAATGCTGACAATGCTGATTTGTCAATAACCAATTTCTAACATGAGACTGAAAAGAACGAAAAGTGCATGATCTTCTAATTGTGGGTGGGATGGAGTTCCATTCCCTAGCAGCTCTCACTGAAAATACAGATTGACTGAATTTGCTTTTTTTGAGAGGAATAATGCAGTCTCCTCTGTCACCTCCTCTAGTAGTTCGGTGAGCAGTCGTTCTAATATTTATAAACTGATTTAATGGTGAAGTCGGGTTATGTAAAGTCTTAAACATTAAACAGATATGTACATATGTAATTAAATTTTCCCAACTAAGCAGGTTGTATTTCTTTAATATTAAACAATGGTGATATTGAACTGATTTCTTATCAAGGGTTTTTATGGATTGCTTGTATAAAGATTTAAGTGGCTTCAGAGTAGTGATGCTGGCTTGGGACCAAGTGGTAAAACAATAAGTGATGTGAGAAATGATCATGGAGTGATAATAGATTAGAGCAGCAGCCTCACATGACATCTGATCACGAATAAATCTAAAATTTGCTAAACTGAATCTGACCCGGTTACAAACCTTTTTAACCTTTATTAGAGCTTTACCTTTATTAGAGCTCAAGAAGAATAATATTACAAATGTCCATGCTTACCTGAAACCAGAATGTCATTCCTGAGGGCACACACGGCATACTCTGACTTGGTGAATTCTGGGAGTTTGGCTAAGGATTTCCATTCACCGGTAACAGGATCATAGCATTCGGTGTATGGCAGGTTGAATCCACCCATCCTCTCGCATCCTCCAACAACCACAATGACCTCAGAGAATCCAGTGGACCTACACAGACACAGAAGGATCGGTTTTAACACATTAACAAATGACAATCATTATGTATTCATTTATTTTCTTTTCGGCTTAGTCCTTGTAACGTATCCAGCATATGTTTCATCCAGCGGATGCCCTTTAACTGCACCCCAACACTAGGAAACACCCATACACTCCTGCATACACACACATACACTACGACCAATTTAGCTTACTCAATTCACCTTTAATGCATGTCTTTGGACTGTGTGGGAAACCCGAGCACCCAGAGGCAATCAGTTATTTAAAAAAATGATGATAATAAACAACAACAACAGAATTCCAGACAGTATTTTTAGTAGGGCTGCAAGATATTAGAAAAAAAAAATAAAAAATTATATATAATCCGATATGAAGAAATTTAGAAGAATTGAGATTCAAGAATTGACTGTGATGATTCTGTAGGGCAGTACATATGTATAAATTACACGAAACAATTTACAAGCATAGATAAATTCAATAAAGAAAAATATACCAATTCAAAAAACAGCGTTTGATTGTTTACAGATAAGTCATACTGTATTTAGGTATACAGAAATTTAATAATCAAATGCAAAATAATACTGCATAGTCTTTGTTTAATAAACAACTCAGTCCTTATTAAGTTGTCAAAGGTACGAATAGTACAATTTCTTCCTCACATGGACACAGATCTAAAACACTTGCGAAATAATAAAGTATAATCTAGACTCAAAGTTGCATATGCTCGCAATGTTCTATTGCGAATAATTACATTGTTATATCAATGCTGAAATGATAGAGTGCAGCCCTAATTTTTAGCACTGTGAAAACTGTTTACATATTGTTTTTGTGTCGTTTTGGTCTATTCGTTTTCTGCTTTGACACTGAAATGAGAAAAGCACATTTCCAATTCTAAGAATAGCAGTAAATGACTGTCTACTGGTGCCCGGAGCACAACATGCATTCCCTGTGCAAAGAACCAATCCGCAGGCAAACACATTTCATCCAGACTGAACCCCCACCATTTTTTCCCTGAAATCATCTGCCTAGAAGACTGTGCTCTCTGTGTAAATGTTCAAGGGGTTTGAGAGTGTGCACATGCAAAGACGCTAAAGTTAGAGTTGAACTTTAAACACCCTCTCTGAGGGAAAAAGATTAGAACGAATTGTGCCTGTCGCTCATTCAATAATGGAAATATCGGTCACTTCATGCAAAAATCAGATCAATCTTTCATGTGTGAGGTAATTAGTCTAAAAGCATCACAACCACACAATTCCCCAACAATAATTAGGAAAAATCAGTCAAGCCCTATCCTATAATTCAAGAACCATCCCAAATCTGCCTAGAAACAGAGGTGGAACTGCAACTTTCTGCCAACTGTAATCTGACACCAACTCTAAACCAACCCTATAAATCCGAGGATGTATGTTTTTTTCATCAAGCCAAAGAAAAACAAATATGTGGAGATGTAAAGAAATCCCTCTTTTTGTTTTGCAACAAGATTTAACAGCTTTTGTCAATGTTTAACTGGTTTCATCAGACTGAGGTTACAGGCTAATGACTGTCCTGTGCCTTTCTTCAAGAAGTCTGTAATGAGACTTTTAATGAGTAAGCAATGTAACACTGATGACTTTGAGAACACCACAAGTGTGCAGTTTCCCCTCCCCCTCACTCACGTTCCTCTAGACATAACAAAAACAAAGAGCACATGCTGCAAGCAGGATCAGGTCAACAGGAACAAGTTTCGAAACTCAGGTGTTTGTGTGTTATGAAGCTCGTGGAGGAAGAATGTGTACAGGCAAGCCCAAAGTCAAGTTTTTTCCCCCTCAGCAGAACAAGGGGCCTGAAGGGGTTGTCTCTTCTTGCACTGTCTCGCCAATCTCACAATGCAGCTCAAATTGTTCCATATACATAAATTAGAGCATTGGGTTTCCCAACGATCAGCTATAGAGTGTGAAGCTATAAAAACAAGCCATTAAATTACTTCAGACACGCACTTGTTGAAGCATGTCTTCGGGTTTTGAGGAGGACTGAATATATAATGTAGCGTATCTGGAAAAGTTTCTAGAAGTATCTCTGATCATTAAGGAAATAACAGAAGAATTTGACAACTACTAATGACTATTAATCCAACATTTGCTGGATTGTTTGTTTCAGGGTGGCCAATGATGTTAGGCTTATAGTAAACAAACTTTTTGGTAGCAATGAATTTTCCCTAAATCAATTAGTGCATTTATTGTGTGTGAACATAAGTGCTTGCTTACGCTGTAAAAATGCAGGCTCACACAATTCCTTCATGCTGTCCCAACACAAATCGATTAAGTTAACTTAACCAATTTAAGTGGATTAAACATAAAACAATTAAGTTGTCCCAAAAATAATATAGAATTGTGTTGTATCTGCTCATTTTAAATAAGTAGATTGACAAAGCAGCAAAAAAAAAAACAACTTTTTTGAGTGTACGTACACATTTCTAAGTCCTAAATTTAGTAAAGACCCCTCAGGGCACAGGAAATAGCTAATAGCAATGTAGGACACCAGTAATACCTGCGTGGACGGGTTCGAGGTGACATCATTTCATTGCCCAACACATGATAGCGTCTGGCTTCGTGAAGAAGCTGATAGCACTCTGGTGCGTTTTGGATCAGCTGGTCCCCTTCTACCGTCTGCACAAAATAATTTGGATGCAGCAGGGGCAGGCGGACATGATTGAGAAGGTCTTTGAGCATGATTCTGCGATGGTCCACATCGTAGTACACCCAACGCATCACTGCCTCAAACACGGTCTCCTCTTTTCCAATCACCATCTCATCACTGGCGATGTACTCCTCCAGTTCCTCCTTGCGCAAGTCCAAGAACTCTTCGTGCTGGGCCACATCGGCAAAGCTCTGCAGAGCATAAGAGCGGCAACGGCTGGCCAGTTGCTTGAGAGAGTGAGCGTCAGCGAAACGCTGGATGCCCAAGCAGTTGCAAGGGTCAAGCTGGTCTTCTAAGAATTTGGCACAGGCATCTCTCAAAGTGCTAATCTGAAAGAGGCTGGAGGTCTCAAAAAGGAACTGCACATTATCTGTAGTGATGCGGGCACGGCCAGTGTAGACGTACTGCAGGAAGGTGTCCATGGCTTCAGCACGGATGCCGTTGATCTCCACCAACATCTCCCGGCTCTCCCGGTGGTCATTGCAGAACATTGCACGGAAGTAGCTGCTGCATGCAGATAACACGGCACGATGACATGGAAATTCACGACCCTCCACACTGATCACTACATCTGTGAACAGACGGCCATCGCGAAACTCGTTGAACATCTGTAGGATACTATCAGAGTGGCACGGGCCGGAGGAGAAATCAAATACATCATGGTTACTGACGGGCTTGCTGTCCATCTCCAGGACCTTTCGCTTGACTGCTGGAGACTCACGGACTCCAGAGTCTTCTCGGTTTAGTCTTCTGCCCAGAATAAGTACCATTTCTTTTAGACCAGAGAGGCCCAAGGCCTTGTAGACAATAGAAGAATATGAAGCCTCAGCTGAAAGTAAAAAGAGAAATATTATTTTAATCAAAACCTTGTTTTAAAAAATAATATCGCTGTTGGGTAACACTATATTTTGATGGTCCATTTGAGAATTAGTAGACTGTCTGCTTATCATCGGCTGATACTGCTCCTTTAACAGGCATTTAACTGACTATAAGACACTTTGCAAGTTCAACTTACACTAACCCTAACCCCAACTTAACAGACTACTTATAATCTAATGTAGATTCAACATAACTTAAATTCAACAAACAGACCATCAAAAACAAGTGTGACCTGCTTTTGTAATCTTTTGTGGTGATAACACAAGAAAAGTAAAAAATAAAAATAAAAAATAAAAATACATTCAACTTTTCAGACAAAACATGCAAAATGAAGAGCTGATATAACCTACCCACTTTAAAATGTCAACAAAGTATTGCCATGTTTTCAGCCAACGTAACATATAATCGTCCACTAAAATCTTTTTAAAATAAAGTTTAAATGATATTTGAACTGTTTTTATGTTCTAAAACGCTAAAACGTTGTCATGAAAATCTGGCAACCTTTTGTTTGTCTTGCATTGCTCTTATTGCCTCAGGTGTATTCACCTTTGGACTGAACATGCTCATTTCTGACCTCTAGCGGTCACTTCCGTATACGAAAATGTATCAAAACAAAGAACTTAGGGAACGTCAACAAAATGGTCTTCAGAAATTGACCTGGAACCACGTGTTGACACAAATTAATCACACAATTTTCTTGTCATACCACTAAATACATAACTTAAAGTCAATCAAAATTAAAGTATTAAGTCAAATGACGTATATCCTGCTCCTTAAAACATATTTATACATGCTGTAAACTAAGTCAAAAATTCCAAAAGGGCAGACCATCATTTCTTTGTGTGTCGCAGTTATGCCCTAGTGCCACACATTGTAAACAACAGACATCTCGAAGTGAAGAAGTTATATAAAACTGCACAAATAATTTTTTATAGGTTATAGGGGATATATACATTATTACATGAACATATATTATAAATACACTTTTTAATACAAAATTTAATTAAGCATGGAAACAAAATATTTTAAAGGATCACTGACACAAAACTGTTAAAGTACTCTTAAGCGAATAGAATAGAATAGAATAGAATAGAATAGAATAGAATAGAATAGAATAGAATAGAATAGAATAGAACGTTATCATCAGCAAAACTCACCAGTTTAAAAAGTTAAGATTTCGTTACGGATGTCTCCTTAGTGTGTAAAAAGTGAAAATCGGTCAAGTGAAACTCTGTTCGTCTACCCTTTGGCGGTCATCTCTATTCTAGCAATGAACCCAAAAGATCGTCTGGGGGGAAAAAACGGTCCGCTGGGCGCTTTATTGCCATCATCACATCCGAAAAACACCAAGAGGCAATCAGCTGATAGCGCAGGGAGATCTGGGAAATGTAGTCGTATAGCAAGATAAGAGCGTTGCAGTAGAGGCGCAGAAAACTACAAGTACCACAGTTGACAGAGCGCCACATGGCCACGGATTGTTTGTAAACGTTTCAACATTCTCAAGAGTGGCGGAGGTGAATGTCTAAAGCCTCAACTTGTTGTTTTGTCTTCTTAAAACTTTCACATACGTTATAAAATATATTCACACGAGTTCTGATATTATGAAACTTAAAAGTAAAAACTAAATTTAGTTAATTATTGCATAACGAGTACATTGCTTTCAATTGACTTTTTTACTGTTGTTTTCATACGGCGATACAGATATTTCTATACATCCAACCAATACAGAATAACATTTTGAAATTTTCATAAAAACACTGATTAATGTAATAATATGGCCGTTTTTGCCACAGTTTTTTTTATTCTTCAGGGAGAAGATTCCCTCTAGAACACTAACAATGTTATCTTTCTTTCTTTCTTTCTTTCTTTCTTTCTTTCTTTCTTTCTTTCTTTCTTTCTTTCTTTCTTTCTTTCTTTCTTTCTTTCTTTCTTTCTTTCTTTCTTTCTTTCTTTCTTTCTTTCTTTCTTTCTTTCTTTCTTTCTTTCTTTCTTTCTTTCTTTCTTTGAGGTTCAAGACAAAGATATAGCTCTGCCGCAATCCTTTCATTATAAAGTGACACCTGGCTCTGTAAAGCAGGTGAGGCGGTTTAACTTCCTCTTCTTCTGAATGCCTGGAGGCTAAACGTACTGTATGAACAAGGCACGTTCAAGGAACTAAACTAGCCTATATTAAAAAAAATATGTTGCTAGATTTTTCTGGGCAGGATATGGGTGCACTTCCTATTCTGTTTCTACTTAGGCTATTTAAAAACAACAACAACAACAACTTTGAACTCTAACCTTCAGTGGCTCAAAATGCGCTTTTTACTTGCCTTCAAATAGTTCCAAACATTCATTAGTTTCTTTCTTCTGTTCAACACAAAATATATAGGCCTACTGAAGAAAGATGAAAACTTGTTTCAAGAGTAGGCAAAACAAATTCTATGGAGGTCAATGGTTACAGGTTACAGCTTTCTTCTATTTGACAGAAGAAAGAAACTCAAAGTTTTTTTTTTCTTTTTTTGTTTTTGACAAATGAAGGGAATTTAAATTTTTGAGTGAACTGTCCCATACTGAAATGAGCATCACACAGTTCCTGTTATTCCCTGTAAACAGTATTGTAGAGAAGATCCCAGTACATTCTGAAATGACATTTCTTCTCCATTTTGATGCTTTTACTTTGAACTTCAGAGAATGCCTAGACCAGTGTTGGGCAAGTAACAAGTAACACCAGTAACAAGCCTGTTTATTTCATTTAACACTTAAAAAGCATCTCAAAACATACCAAATTAAAATTAAACAGATAATTGTTTAATTTGGAGTCAAGCATGGCCTTTTAGCTTTATTTGAAAAATGTTAACACTTAACAAATGTATATCAAACATTTCAAAGTAATGACATACTTCATATAAAGAGACATATTTCATATACATGGCATACTGAAATTAATTTCCCACTGTTTCCTAAGCATTTGCAGTCATTTGACAAATTTAAACTTCTTTATTTAAAAAGTTTTAAACATATTTTTGCTAAATATTTGAATAACAAAAATACATTTATATTGCATATGCAATCGTCTTGATAAATGTAACCTTGTTTAGTTATTCAGCAAGTATATTTGTGTAAAAAAACAGGTACTCTTTTTACCTTCATACAAAACTGTTGAATTTATCTACATAATTTATGGCAAGTGTTTTAAAAATAATATTTAGTAATCCCTTACTTTAAAATTACAGTATAGTTACTTATAACTATTTAACTAAACATTGATCTTGACTATAAATTAAATTCTTTTATTTCTGCCAGGTGATTGGCTGATCAGATATTTGTGTTGATAAACACTTCAGTGGATAATAGCTTTAAAAAAAAAAAAAAGTGTTGTGTTTATTAGTCTTGGGCTGATCTTTTAATTTCAGTAGAACACGCTGATTCTATACAGTAGTATTTCTTTTGTAACTCTTATGTTAACAAACAGTGAAATTCTGAATTCAAAGTGACTGTGTATAATGAAAGACCATGATAAATTTACACTGAGGAATTTAAAATTATTTTTTACTATCAGGGACATAAGGAGGAGAAAACACATGACTTATGCTTTCCTATGATTTCCCCCAACCAAAGCTTGTAGGTAAGTAATTTGCTTTATACACAGTTGGATTGAGAAGTTTTACCAGACAAACAGCAAACAAAGTGCAGTAATGTCTTCATCAGTTTGTAGTGTACACCCTCTTGTGGCAAACAAATATTCAATGTTGAGGCCTTAAGCACTCTGGCAGATGTAATGTTTTCACCTAAAGTCTCTCTCGGTCCTGTTGTGGTTTTGCCGTCTTTTCTATCTTGGTTTCCACCCATTACTGCACAGCAGTTGACTGCACTTTCTGCTGTCTAAAGCACATTCCTCCGTCTCTGTGTGTTTATGTGATCAGTAGTCATCCCACCATTAATAGTGTTTTGATCGGTTTGGATCCACTCAGTTAAGCCCTAGTAGAGAACAACAGGGTAACGTTCAATGCATGTTCACCTACTTAAACTAAACATAACATAACAAACCAAGAAAAAGAGTTATTTTATTTAAATATTTATTAAGGAAGAGGCATGGCCTAAAATTAACTTTAAAAAGCACCACCGGTTGTATCCTAAACTAGTCACAAGGTGGCAGCAGTGGCTATGAAACAAGCATGAATGAGGAATTTGTAAGTGCATATGCCTGCAGGTTAATTGATGGTAATTTGGACAAATTTCTATTAAACATTGGTTATTTAGGGCCCATTTGTTGCTTGATATTTTACAAACATGAATACGTGCTATCTAATAAACCATATCTGTAATTAATTGTTCAGCATTCAGTCTCATTAGCTTTATCACTATTCACAAAACACATTCTAAATAGACTAGGGATGGGTTTTAAGGTGAACAATTGCAGACCGGGTACAGATGCAAGCTGAGACTGCATGCAATGCTTTTAATGCATACGTTTACCCCACCACTAACCATACCATTTACAGTGACGTCACTAGCTCTATTTTATTTTTTTATTGTTGCAAAAATTTTACACCACAAAACAGGGAACAATAATAAACATTGCAAGGCATGGTAACTATTAAAATAAAAAAATATTAATTAAAATTTTTTCTTAAAAATGAAAATAAATAAATAAATAAATAGAAATAGAGAAGGGAAAGAAAAGGGGAAGGGGGTGGGGGGGTGGCGGTGTCCAAGGGGGATAAAAACATAATAATAAGTATTTTGAATACTAATTCATTTAAAGCTTTGAGCCTCTTTATTTCAGAAAGAAACACCTGGGCCTGATTTTTTTTCCCATTTACAACAATAATTATGATATTTAACATCAGAGAAAGAAAAATGTAAATCGCATTTGTAAAAGAAAATATCTTCTAGAACAATTGGGTGGACTGAGATCATCTTTTGTGAAAGCCATATATAAATGTCAAACTAGAATTTAGATGTTCTCCTACTTAAACTAGCTCTATTGAGTGCATGTGTCTGAGATTGCATGTCAGAGCTTGTATGTGCAAGTCTGCAGCCAGAAACTATTGGAAAATGTCATATATCTAAACTATTTTTGACATTAACGTTTTAACATTAACCAGATAAGGAATATGTGTACATAACTTACAAATATGGATTACATCAGAATTTGTATTCTATTTGTATTCATTATAGTCATTTAATGTGAACCATACTAGGCTCAAGTGTGTTATACTGTGTATAATAATAATAATAATAATAATAATTTATTCATTCATTCATTTTCTTTTCGGCTTAGTCCCTTTATTAATCTGGGGTCACCACAGCGGAATGAATCACCAATTTTCCAGCATATGTTTTAAACAGCGGATGCCCTTCCAGCTGCAACCCATCACTGGGAAACACCCATTCATTTTTACTCACAAACATACACTACGGACAGTTTAGCCTTCCCAATTTACCTACAGTATACCACATGTCTTTGGACTTGTGGGTGAAACCAGAGCACCCAAAGGAAACCCACGCAAATGTAACCCCGCCAGTCCTATGCCACCCAACCCGCTCTCATCTGGTATTGAACCGGCAACATTCCGCATGGGAGTCAGTTGCTCTACCAAGGATGCTAAAGACCATGGCCTCTAGCGTTTGTCACTAGAGCACCTTTAGAGGTTGTTTGTGTAACTGAGCTTGCCTCAGTTACACAAACACCTGGGGAACATGTAAACTTTACACAGAAACGCCAACTGACCCTGCCAGGGCTCGAACCAGCGACATTCTTGCTGTGAGGTGATTTTTGCTACCCACGGCGCCACCACCATATATATATACATATATAATATATAGGGCTGCGTTTGCGTGGGTTTCCTCCAGGTGCTCCGGTCTCCTCCACAAGCCCAAAGACATGTGGTACAGGTGAATTGGGTAGGCTAAATAGTCCATAGTGTACGTCTGAATGAGTGTGAATGAACCCCAGAGATGGGTTGCAGCTGAAAGGGCATTTGCTGCGCAAAACATATGCTGGATAAGTTGGCAGTTCATTCCGCTGTGGCGACCCTAAATTAATAAAGGGACTAAGATGAAAAAAAATAAATAAATGAATGAATGAATGAATTAAATTGTCCGTAGTGAATGAGTGTGTATGGATGTTTCTTAGTGATGGGTTGCAGCTAGAAGAGCGTCCGTTGCGTAAAACATATGCTGGATAAGTTGGCTGTTCATTCTGCTGTGGCGACCCCTGATTAATAAAGGGACTAAGCCGAAAAGAAAATGAATGAAATAATGAATCAATGAAAATGAAATGGTAAACTGCAATAAACACTGTA